CGAAAGATCGAGAGAAAGAGAGAGAGAGAGAAAGAAAATGGAAGAAGCAGAGAGAAGAGAAGGAGATAAGAGAAGAAATTATCCTCACGAGAACGAGGAAGTTGAGAAAGACAGAGAAAGAGAGATGAGAGAAAGAGAGAGAGAGAGAGAGAGAGTGCGGTGTTCAGGAGAGCGTTGGCACGCGGGTACGACGTCCCCCGTGCCTGGCTCGTTTCGTCAACATTTCCGGTTGAGTTGCGGTAGCACGATAGGGGCCGGAAGTAAACACGATGCGGATCGTGTGCGATCGACCGAGCGTGCTCGATAGATCCGTACACTGCGGCCGACGAGCTGAGACTGAGCGGCTCGTCCCCACGGAACGCCCGATCGCGATCTACGAGTACTACCGACCACGCGAGGCCACGGCCCGTCTCTATGTGTGTTCGTGAGGTTATGCGCGAGTTTACACGGCCGATCGTGTGTGAGTGAGCGAACGAGCGAATGAGCGAGCGAGCGAGTGAGTGAGCGAGTGAGTGAGCGAGTGAGTGAGCGAGTGAGAGAGTGAGCGAGCGAGCGAGCCATCGGGAGGACTCGAGGTATCCGCGAGCGAGCGAGCAGGTACGTATGTTATCGTTGCGGGGAAATTGTCCTTTTGCTACGTAGGATGGGATTAGAATTTTATTCTTTCTTTCCTTCTTTCTTTCGAATTTGTCCCGTCGAGTTGTCTCGTTCGGTGTGGATGGAATTTTCGAAAAGGAACTCGAATCGAGGCTTGATAAGTGTAATAGGATGTAAATTATTTGGCGGATCTTAGAATTTTAGAATTTTACAGTTTTTCGTTGTGATTCGGAAAAATATTGAAAACGTTTCTCCTCGATAAACGTAAAAGAAGAGTGAATCGTTAAATATAATTTTCTAAATAATTTAGAAGGAATAAATTTTCGATGGAAAATGCCGAGGTTATATTTGGTCACGGAGGCACAATGCGCTTGTTAAGCTTCCGGTTACGAAAATGCGCGACAGGGTCAAAGAACCCTCGTCGTCTTTCTAACGTTCGAGGATCGAAAATTCTTCTAATTCTGTTACATGGATCGTTATTCAGAATATCGTTCGTTTATTCGCGACGTTTTAGACCCGACCATTAATCCTCGTTTTCATCGAGTGGAAAAAAAAAAAAAAAGAAGAAGAAGAAAAAAAAGAGAAAAAGAAAGATCACAGAAAATGCTTCACCTTTTCTACTAACGTCACAACAACTTCGACGCGTGCCGGTGTATTTTTTCGCACACGTGTAACAAAAATTAGTAACTACTTAGCGACCACTCTGCCTCACCAACGTATTAATAGACCTACGTATACTTCGTTTCGGATAAAACAAACACTCGAACCGAACGATTACCTTGTTACCTAGCTAATTCCGTCCAGCCAACGAAATATCCCACGTTTTCACCTCTTTTTCTTTTTCTTCCTTCTTTTTTCGACACGTGTAAATTTCTCTTACCTACCTCACCTTGGATTCAAATCTAAGATCACCGTGAAATTAAATCTACGAAAAAAATCACGAATATTTTCAAATCTTCGTAAAAACAAATTTTTTTAATTTCCTCATACACTTCGATGAACTTTTTTTTCTTTTTTTTTGACACGTATTTCTTCCACTTACATCACGCTCCAGATTTATCACCGTGAAATTAAATTTACGAAAAATCACGAATATCCTATTTTCAAACTTTGTAAAAATAATTTCTTTATTCCCTCATATATATGTTTCGATGAACTTTAATAATTTTTAGCAGGATTAAAAGAATTCGGCGACGATTAAATTCGAAAACAAAAGTGATTCGCATCGATTGGCGTACGGTAAGAGAAAAATCTTCATGTAATCCCGTTATGTCAGATCGTTAAACGATAAGGATTATCGACGTTTCCAAGAATTTTTCAAACTCGAACAACCTCGAACAACCTCGAACATATACGGCACTGTGAATCCAGTGACTCGTGTGTGTACACGTATCGAGTGTATACGTACATATGAATGCACTCACTTACACGTGGAGACACGTACACGTGACTGAGAGTGACTCACCTCTTGCCTATAACGCGCGCGCGCGCGCCCGAATCCGCTAGGGCTTCTTTTCTTTTTCGGGAGGATCGATTTTCCACGAATTTTCCCTCGATAACAACGACATTTCCAAAAAGAAAAAAAAAAAAGAAACTAATCAAACGACCGATTTTTAATTTAATCGTCAACTCAACCGCGTTTCTATTTCAGAAATTGAGACTTTTGTCGAAAGTTCGAATGCGAGAATGAGATTCGTGAAAATGGAAAATATGATTTTTTTATTTAATAAAGTAGAGTCTTCTTTTTAATAAGGAATCGATAAATTCATCATCCAGATTCGTCCAATTCTCAGAAAACTTTCAAAATTATAAAGTAAATCAAACAAAGTTCTCTTTTTAAACGCCCAAATATTTTTTTCTTTTTAAAAATGGCGCGTGAAGAGTCTGAAAAATCGTCGCTCCGTTTTCGCTCTGTCGAGTCGATACCTACTACTTGGTGGATGGATTCGAGGAACAGGAACGAGTTTCAACGAAAAATTCAGCGTATTCGTGACGACGCCAGCCGACGAAAATTATCGCAAGATCGATGGTGTCACCTGCGTTTCTGTCTCGTGCAACACGGTGAAAGTTCACGCGACCATTGTCCCCACATCCCACGAAATCGAATCGCCGTTTCCGAATCGAGCGCCTCGCTTTCCACGTTTCCAATGCGCCGCCTTTTTTGCAAACCTATTATTATTTTCGCTCCTCCTTCGACGCCGATTTTCGCGAGCCGGGCCATGAATTATTCATCGAATCGATCGGCCACCGATACTTCTTGCTTGCGTCGGCCTCTCTCTCACGATTCTTCAACCTTAGAGATGCTTAGAGTTCGTTATAATTTGATTTAGTTAAGCGTCGGGATTTTCGAGAGGGAAGACAAAAATTTTAAATTCTCTTAATATTAGTATTTTAAGAATCTTTTTATCTTCTCGATCTCTCTTTTTGTTGAAAGAAATTCGTATCAAAAATTTGTTACAAATTATCAAAAAAATATTGAAATCAAAAATTCTGGTTATAATTATTGATACAATAGTCAAGTTTGTGCGATCAATATTTAATTCTTTTTCACAATATTTATTTCTTATAAGATGGAATAATTGTTGATCTTATTTCTTTTTTTTTTTTAAATTTCCCGCGAAAGAAAATTCCAAATTTTATTAATGATATCTCGATTCTATTTTTCGAATTATTTGGATATGATGATGGACAAGAATCAGCAATGGAAATTCTTTGGAAAGGAAAATTTTCCATCGATAAAAGAACAATTTTACGATTCGATGGAAAAACGATTTTCTCAGGTTTCGACGAATCGATAGGCGAGTTGTTTTTGCAGGCGTATACACACAATAATAATCTCGTGCGTCTATTCGTAACTGTCTCAATTTTACGGGAATCAAAAAGTTTCCAAATTGTAATCAACGAGGAATAATAAATTGGATTCGAATTTCTTTTCGTTCGAGAACGTTTAAACTTATCGACATATTGTTATAGAATTAATCGATGCACTCGTAGATTCTCTCAATCTTCTCCATCTATCTGTTTCGATAAGATTGCCCGTATCGGTACACTTGTACGAATAATTTGCGAGAAAAAGAAGAAAAAAGAGAAAAATTTAAAAATTCATTCTTAACAAAAGTTAAGAAAGAGGTAAAGAATTTAAAAAAATTATAGGATACGAAACAAACGAACATATTTGTAAAAATTGATTTTACAAATATATTAAGAGCATTGAAGATAGCAGAAAAGAAAAAGAGATAAAAAACGATAAAAAAAAAAACTCAAGGTTTATTTTATCAATTGTACAGCCGATTGTTTAAGATTAAGGAGAGCGTGATCTGTAAAATGGAAAACACACGAGAAAAGCATCAGAGGTAAACACGAATGACGCGATACGTCTCCGCCATTCTTTTTTACGACATTACGTTTCTCGGAATAAAATATTCCCCTGCGAACGATTTTGCATCGTGCATCCGATTTAAGCAATCGTAATCGTTTCCCACTGATAAGTAATTAAAAAAAAAAAAAAAAAAA